TCAGTTTTGTTCGCAGTCAATGTACATACGCCCGGATATCATGTCGTTCGGAGTTCGTTGGATTCACACCCTAGTTTGTCGAAAAGACGTGATGATGAAATAAAAACAAAAGGGTAACTTTTTCACTGGAGAGAACGGTGGGCTGAAGTAGAATTGTTTGATTGGAGAAGTTACTTGCTGCGAAGCTGTCTGATTAAAAATGTGTGGCAGTCGCCATGAAAACATGAAAGAAAAGAAAACAATGAAATTGTGAGTAATGTAATAAAAAATGAATGAAGGCCGAAGAAGAGATGATATTTACGCGTATTTTCCAGATCAGGTAAAAATAAGGTGTCGAGAACGTTGATAGAATAAGGGAGACGAAAAAGAAAGAAAAAAGTAATGATAGAAAATAAAGTAAATAATGAAAAGAAAAAAGCAAAGAATAAAAGGAAAGAAATAACCAAAAAAAAAGTAAAAAAATAAGAAGCAAAAGAAAGAAAGATATATATATATATATATATATATATATATATATATATATATATATATATATATATATATATGGATAGATAGATAGATAGATAGATAGATAGATAGATAGATAGAGAAATAGATAGACAGAAAGAAAGAAAGAAAGAAAGAAAGAAAAAGAATATGAAAAAACAAATAAGGAAAAAGAAAGAAAGAAGGAAAGAAGAAAAATTAAAGAAAGAAAGAATGAAAGAAAGGAAAAGAGAGAAAGCAAGAAGAATGAAAAAGAAAAAGAATAAAAAGAAGGAAAGTAAGAAGAATAAAAAAAGCAGTAAAAAGAAAGGTAATAGATAGATAAAGAAAGAAAGAAAGAAAGAAAGAAAGAAAGAAAGAAAGAGAAATAATAAAATAAAAGAAAGAAAGAAAGAAAGAAGGAAAAAATAAAAAAGGGAGAAAGAAAAAAGAAAAAGAAGAAAAGAAAGACGAATGAAAAAGGAAAATAAATTACAAGAAGGAAAAAGAAAGAAAGAAAGAAAGAAAATAAGGAATAGAAAGAAAGGAGTAAAAAATAAATAAAAAAAATAATAGTCAAGGCAAATAAAAAAGGAAAGAAATAAAATCGAAATGGACGAACTTTTATGAAAATAAGATTGTAATGTTCTAGAATGGAAAAGATACAAACCAGAAAAAGTAGAAAAAAAAAATCTCCCAAGAAACCAACAATGAACAAGAACAAGTTGATCGTCCTGAAAATTGAATGGAGTAAGTAAAACATTGAACAAAATTTGAAAGTAATCAAAATTTGAATAAACATTTCCAATGAAAATCTGGATGAAAGTTAGAAGAGATTTCGTATTCGGGTCTGTTTTTATGATCAGATAAAAACGTAGATAAAATTAAACATTGAAAAGAGAAGAAAAGAGATAAACCAGAAAGAACCAGCAGGCAATATTAAAAGAAAAAGAAAAAAAAGAACAAAGCGGAAATAGAAAAAGAAAACAAAAAAGATTGAAAGAGAAAGGGGAAATATTCGAAAACAATAAAATATAGGAACGCGTAAAAGAAACATAATCAAAGAAGGTGATCTGTATAAAAGCACGAGACAAGAAAACCAAATTTGCAGAAATGTCATGAAATAAATGAATGAAGAACGAACAGACATGTCTGCGTAGTCTCAAGAACTACTGAAATACAAAAAAAGAAAAGTCTATCAAAAAAGATGCCTAGTGTAATTTAGTAACCACATATCGTAATCAAAGACGATCATTGCCACAGCGATCAAAGAATTTGTCTCACATATTCAGTACCATGGTAAAGATATCACATGTTGAGGTATCACATGATTAAGCGTACGTTGCCAAATGCTGATTTGGAATTGGCAAGTGATCAGGCTGTATTTGCCAGAACATTTGCTACATATCGCTTCCAGATGAAAGTGGACGTGTTCATAATGTAAGAAAGAAGGGAAATGTGTAACATTTGTTCGACGCTGACGATCTGAAATCTAGTTTTTGATCGATCACTTGATTTGCATTTTACGGTTTATCAACCTTTACGAGTTATTTATAGTTAGGAAATATTTTTAGGTTGTCAGAATTTTTAGGAGATAATAATAATTTACTGATAAGTCCTACTAATTAAAGCATTAAATAGGTGGGGGAAAAGAAGTGGATTCAAATCTTTCCTTTCCTAAGGGGATTTCCACGTAAATGAATATAACAAACCCGACTGGAATTAGAACTCTGCTCTCTGAACTCCAATACTAAACCGTTATCCATTACACCACCCACCTATCTAACGTTACAGTACCTACTATTCCCACTAATCTACGTACTGACCAGGCTCAAAATTGCTTATCATACGTAATCAATCAATTATGTGCCATGCGTGACACACGCTTAAGTGATCATGTATCTTTCGAGACATTTTTTCCCGCATTAGTTTGCCATTACTTTTTGCGGTAAACAAGTTGCCATCTAAGGCTATAGAACTTGATCTGCCCTGCTATTTATCCATAGCTGGGGGAGGGAAAAGAAGAGGATTCATAACTTTCTCAAGCTTATTAGTACGTAAGTGAAGATAGATCCATGAAAAATAATGCATTTGTTACATGATCATCAAACCTATTAGTTACATATTATTAAGAAAATATTATTTTGGAAAGATATAAACAAAAATTCATATCGCAACAAATTTGAAAAGGATGAAAAAAAAGAAATACTTTTTTTTTAATCGAAATATTAAACAATTTGCAGTGTCCTCAGTAAACGCTGGAATTGTCCTCTGTTGTAAATGGTAAATAAGCAACCTGCGCTGCCGACATATTGTTAGAACTGAGCCCAGATGATCTTACATTTACTTGAGTAGTTGATACGCGATCAATAATACAAGAAAAAATAATATGCTAACGATGTTTACCGATCATGAAGGCAAATGGCAACTTTACTTTGCCTCTTTTAAACACAGCCCCTTTAAGCGAGTATTGAATGAGAAGACACTGAAGACATATAGTGAATATTGTACGCGCGCGTGTGTATGTGTGTGTGTGTGTGTGTGTGTGTGTCTATATGTGTGTATGGCGAAATTCCCTTTGATTTTCTTCATACAACACTGATATACTTATCCTAATAGGAATTGCCCATCCATACGTAAATGTAAATATTACCGTCAATTTTAACGAGTTTCATGGTAATATCAATTAAATATCTCCTTTCCACATGAATGAATTATCTCTCGTATGAATATATTCTATTGGTTCGTTATAGGTATTGGATTATATTTGTTAACTGATCGATTTTTTCCGTTTTATCAAGCTTTTGAAAGTTATTAAAGCTAGAAAATGATTTTTGATTGTAAGAATTTTTTTGAAGTAATAATGATTTACTGATACAAATCCTACTAATTTACCTATATCTGGAAGGATTCATACCGTTTCCAAGACTATTTGCGCCTAAGTGAATAAAACGAATCCGATTGAAATTAGACCTCGACTCTCCGATTTCCAGAGACGTTATCTATTATATCACCGACACAATTCACACTTACATCGCCTGGTATTCCTAGGGGGTCATATTGCACTGTAACCTCGGCTTTAAAGACCATTGAGCATTTCATACCCCAAGATATTCGGCGGTCAGTTTATGATATGACAACTGTTAATTTTCATCTAGTATGGAAACTAACAGCAATCATATTCAAATTTATTGACTCAGTAGAATTTTAGTCTAAAAAACAGTGTTTCTAATTAATTAATTTCGTGATGCTGTTAGTATTTCCTTTGTAGCAATTCTAAGAAGATATTTGACTTGATTTTCAATTCGAATTTCTAAAAAGCATATTTTAAGCTCGAACAATGTTGAAAGAAGAAAGAAGCCTTTTTTCGAATGAACTTCCATGAATCGCAAAGTGGCAAAAACATTCATTAGTCGTTTCATTTTGTTTAAATTCATTTTTTTGGTGACCGAGATGGAAGTTGTTTATAATTAAGCATTGTTTGATTTTGAACAAATGTTTTATGATTTTAAATATTCATGAAGTATCGAGAACCGGTGATGCTAATGCCCATCGATCCTTAAAAGATGAAGTTTTAGAGACAATAACTTGTGTTAGAATGGCGATTCGTCAGAAATACACGGGTAGAAGGTAGAGACAAAGTAAAGAAGGGGGGTTATTAAGAATGGAAGGAGGAGTAAAATAAGTTGATGAGCAGAGATGGTAATGAGAAGAATAGTCGCAGAAAAAGGAAAGGGGGGATTAAAAAGAAAGAGGTGGAGTAAAAGGAAGATGGAGAGAAAAAAGGCGACGAGAAAAAGAATGAGAAACGGCGAAAATAAACGGAAAAAATAAGAAATGATAACGAAAAAGATGTGTAGTAAAAGAAAGGAAAAAAAGAGAATATAAAAAAGAAAAGGAGAAAAATCATAAAAAATGAAGAGAATAAAGGAGGAGAGATGGAAGAGGAAGGCTAAAAGCAAGAACTCAACAATGCATTTGAAAGGGGAAAAAAATGGAGACCGGAAGAAAGTGGAAGAGGAAGCAGGAAAATGGTGACCGGAAAAAGTGGAGGAAGAGGAGGAAAAAAAAGGTAATTTAGGAAATCAAAGAAAAAGTGTAGCGATCAGGTTGAAAAGAGAAAAAAGAACTAAACCTAAATGAAAATGGAAGAGACAGAATGATGATGGAAACGGAAAGAAGGATGGAATTAAAAGCGTGAAGGACTGAAAATATAAGCGACATACAACAGACAATCAGTGATGACAAAGAGGGAGTTATGGGTAAAAGAAAGGGAGAAGAAAAATAAAGAATAGGATAAGTAGATAGAAAGATAGCAGAAAGTGAAAATGAAGGACACTGTATGAGAACTAGATAAAAATGATGGGGAGGGGTAAACAAGGATTAAGAAACAGGGGATAAACAGCAATAAAACAAGGAAACAGGAGTAAAATGAAAAAGAGTATGATGATAAACATTTCGGGAAGAGAAGGGAAAGAAGAAGGAAACAGAGGCGTTGAAAGAAGAAGAAGAAGAAGAAGAAGAAGAAGAAGAAGAAGAAGAAGAAGAAGAAGAAGAAGAATATAGGCAAGGAGGAAAAGGGGGAGGAAAAAAGAATTCGAAATATGAATATAGAGAAGAAGAAGAAGAAGAATATAGACAAGGAGGAAGAGGAGAAAGAGAAGAAATCAGAATATGAATATAGGGAAGAAGAAGAAGAAGAAGAAGAAGAAGAAGAAGAAGAAGAAGAAGAAGAAGAAGAAGAAGAAATCAGAATAAGTACATAGACAAGAAGAAGAAGAAGAAATTGGAATAAGACTATAGTCAAGGAGGAGGAGAAGAAAAAAAAACAATCGGGATAAATGGGTGTCTTGTCAGGGAGGCCTCGCTCCTGGAATGCCGATTGAGATGTACGCTCATACGATCTAGATGCTAAAGATGTTAGGCAATGGTCGGTTCCCTGTACCGTTTCAGTAAGCACCCGACTCCTCCTATCATCCTCTACCTTTACAAGAGGCGAAAATATAATACTGCTGTCTGATATGGGCAAGGAGCTACCCAGTCTCAATATCCAAATGTATATCCACGTCCTTATGAGCGATAAAGTATTTTCCACATCACATTTCTTTTTCCACAGACAAAACGTGTCAATCCTCTTGCTATTCCATTGCTATTCCCGTGAAAAGCCTTCAGAGAAACTACATTCCTTAGTCCTACCAGCAAAGACCCGCCATACCAAGCGCATTGTAGAGGACCTCTTGCATTTCCTTCGTATTCCAATGATGAGATGTAACTTCCTCCTCTTCCCAAGAACAACTATTTTGGGGAACCGATCCCAAGAATATGCTTCACCAACCACTACAATCATAACCTGTTCAAATCTAGTGTTAACCACCTCCATGTCCATTGCACCTCTTACCTCTTATTCTGCAACGCTTCTCATTAAGTGGCTCCTGGGCCTTATATAGGGTGAACATTTCTGTAAATCAATGGAGTATGAATGAAAGCAGATAATGTGGACAAAGATTAAAATTGAAAAAATGCGAAAAATTGAAGATATAAAAATAAAAATATAAAAATGACAGTGTTTTCCAATAACGAGGACATACCCAAGTCAGTTTTTCTTGGATTAACAAAATTAATATTAATAATACTAACATTAACTGTAATACAACATTAATAATAATAATAATAATTATTATTATTATTATTATTATTATTATTATTATTAGCAGCAGCAGCAGCAGCATGGCCAGGCGTTGCCCGTGTTTGATTCATAAATCGTACGACTCATAAAATATTTTGTCCTTCCTTGCCTTTAAAGGAGTGTCCTTTTCCGTGCTGATGTTGCTACATGCCTTAATTCTTGCCTATCTCACACTGACAATTTTTCTAAGCACTACACTAAACATTAAATCTGTTGCAAAAAAAAGAACTACACAAAATGAACACAAAACGATCAGCTTTAAAAAGGTCTCGTAACCGGAAAAAACGAATGAAAAAAGAATGTTAACAACAAATACTTTTCACACCCAACCCAGTTCTGCGGAATCAGAATCAACTTTGAGTTTAAGCAAGCGAATGAGTCAATTGAAGTAAAGTGCCATGCAGATTTAATTTTTTTCCACTTGTGACGAATGCAGCTATCTATTTTTTTTTTTTGCATGCTAGCATGCTAGTTAACATTCATGTCAGTCAGCTATTGGCTCTCACGCTGGCCAATAGAATCTTCCTGCCTATATGTGGCAGCCAGCTATAGTCTCTCACTCTGGCCAGTACAAAATGGCCGCAAACTACATGAAAACTGCCGTAGAAGCATGAAAAAATCGATTATTTCCACTATCGGTAGGAGTTGGGAAATACAAAGTCGGCCATGGCCTTCCCGCTAACTTGGAGCATGTGCATGTAAATTTTGGTGCAAATCCGTCGAAAATTGCGGCCGTGCATTCGTTACACACACACACACACACACACACACACACACACACACACACACACACACACACATCCTGCCTTTTATAGACAGAGATTATTATTATTTTATTAAATCTTGTAGTCCTATAAATGCAAAATATTATTAGTCAAACTATATATAATATTCTTGGGTCCTCTATGTCCTTACGCCATATTTTAGCAAAATTGTGCATTCTATCATAAAAGAACGATTCCAGTATTGATTCTATGGATTCTTCAATATACTGAACTTGACTTAGAAGGAATGTTGCACGACAGGGAGAAGTGATAATCTGAAGGCGTCTACACTAGTAAATCCAGCGTATGTAGAAGAACTTCTCACCCCACTCCTATAATTGCTTCCACTGTCGCATTTGTATCATGAAAGCATAAATTATAATGACGCAAAACTATTTCTTGATTTGCTTCTTTAAAAATAAAAGCTATTTCCATTTATAATGCCATATTTAAACAAATCCTGTTTCTCGCGACGCATTTACACAACTGCCGTTATTATATCTATTTCAAAGCTTCATAAAAAGAATTACTGTTGACGGCGTAGTCGATTTATTTAAACTGTAGTTTCCACCATTGATTTAGTCCATCTAATCTCTAGCCTTCTTCAGGTGACCATTATTTTGTCTGTTATAGTATATCTGGAATGTGCTGATTATTGTTTCTTTTCTTTTCTTTTCTTTTTCTTCTTTTTTTCATGTTTCTGTTTCTGACCCAGGATATACACATTTCACTTTCCATGGACTCAATTCATAACCAACATTTGATTAAGGAACACCGATATACATTACACCTCCATCGTTAAGTAATGTATTTTTGGCGCGTTTTAACCCAATTTCAAATAACTTTGACATTTGTTTTTTTAATTATCCTTTTCAGATTATATATATATATATATATATATATATATATATATATATATATATATATGATTTTATTCAGATTATTATATATATTTATATTATTATAAACACAAATTTTCTGGTCATCATCAGGTGTCCATTATTTGGGCTGATACGCTATACACAATTTCTAGTTCGTTCTTGCTTGATTCACATATATGCATTTTGCTAAATGTATCAATTCGTGTCTGAGGAAACTACAAGAATTATCTAGAAGGTAATGAAGGTAAGCGAAAATAAAGAACTAAACATCAGTTGCAAGGAGACAAAATGCGTGGTTGTCAGCCAAAGGGACAGCCCAATAGACAAACCACAAGTTGGAGATAAAATCAAGTACAATTTAAATATCTGGGAAATGTTTTAACAGTAGATAGAAAGTATGACACCGAAATTGAGATAGTCAAAGGTGCCTTCCAAAAACTGAGCAATATATTAAAAAACAGGAAAATTTCGTAACAATCAAAGAAAAAATATTTAATTTCTGTTTACAGAAGAATGGTCCAATGAATTAAATCTTTGCTTTGTTAATTTGGCGACAGTAATTGTAAGTTCAATCCTCGGAGTGGGTAGTGTCTACTTGGAAATGGGTGAGCTATAATTGAGCAGTAGAAAAATAAGTGCTAGACAAGATATCCATAGACGGACAGTGGAAGCAAAACAGTCTACATTCGTAGATTAAATAAGTCCAGAATTTCCTGTAGGCTACCCAAATCAATATACACCTGAAGATGATCAGAGGGCACAACGGCCGAAACGTTGTGATAGCAATAACTCAGATGAGGACAATAGTTGGAATGTAAACAGTTTAAATAATGAGTACTTAACTGTTATGTTGCATTGGTCTTCCTATATGGCAGTGAATGCTGGACAATCTCCTCATAGATGAAGACGAGATTTGAGCTAACAGAAACACGGTTCTACAGAAGGATGCTGAGAATACTATGGACTTAACATGTTAGCAATTAAAAAGTTTTAGAGAAAATGCAAAAAGATTGGTGTTGGGGCCACCCACCTTCTCATCAGAATGGACTGATCTCTCTACTACTAATAAGACAGTTCTATAGAGTTCTGGGAGATCAGGTGACCATCACACTTCCGTCTTTTTACCGGAAGACACAGTTGGACTTTATACTCTTTCTGACTGTTGCTGACTAACCTGCGTTCGTTTGACTACTAATCTCACTGTTGTAAATACCTCTTCAGATATACCAGTATTTTTCCCTACGTATGTGTTTGTCCTTATTTCAATACACGCACGGGGAAACACTAAACATCTCAAAAATTGGATATTAATATTTCACATTAGAAAGAGTCGTTTGAAACTTCTTGGGTGCATAATGAGGAAATTAGGCCTGGAAAATTTGATACTCACAGGGCAGATTGAAAGCAAGAGGCACAGAAAAAAAAACGGCGCATAAACTTCCTAACGAGCTCGTGGAAGTTTATAGTAGAACAGGATTTAAGATAACAAAAAAGAAAGGACAATGAATTGTTGAGAGCTATGGTCACCAACGTCCTAAAGGGACATATCGCAAAAAAAGAAAAAAATCAGGCTACGTCCTACTAGATATAATGGACGTCTTGGCTGAAGCAAATTGTGTTATTTATATAAATCATGTTATTTTGTGTTATACATGCATATACAGATTAGTGTAGATAACGAAAGACAGAAAGAAAGTTACTGTGTTGCACCGTGTTGCAATAAGTAGACGGCTCTTTACCCAGATTATTTTTATAGTAGTAGGTCTGATTCTCATTTACTGATCCAAACCTGGAAAATTGGTATTATAGGTCTACTAATGATAGATAGATAGATAGATAGATAGATAGATAGATAGATAGCCAGAGCACCTCCGTCTAAATATATTTGTTTAAAATTAACAGAATGATATAAAAGAATCGGATGAATAGACAACCACCTCTTTGATGAACAGATCTAAGCACACTCTCCTCACCTACTATTACTACTGTAGTGAGTTTATATATATATATATATATATATATATATATATATATATATATATATGAATTCAGAGCAGCATGAATCCATCCAGTAATTATCTTAAATAACAACTTAAAAGAGACTTTTTGACCAACACAAGGACTGACCAAAATTCAGGTTAAAAAAATAAAAAATTAAAAAAAACAAATGAAAACTACAGACAAAAGTTCATTTTCTCCATCAAGACATTCATTTCTGTATTTTACTGCTACCAGCAAGCAGAATTGTTTTTCTCCTGATGATGGCCATGTTGGCCGAAACTAGTCGAGGAATCTAAATGAAATAATAATAAAAACGAAACAATATTAATATACAACCCAGTGTGTCTGAAGATTTTTGAATATATTTTATTGTTCACTATATATATATATATATATATATATATATATATATATATATATATATATATATTATTATGAAATGGACAAAGTCCGACAATTATTTTAAGACATGTTTATACATTCTTTTTATAGATACAAATATTTAAGTAAAATGTAAAAAATATAAATATATATTTTTATTATAAACAGAGCATTTACTTAAATATTTGTATATATAAAAAGAGTGTACAGTGTAACCCGGATATAAGAGAGTTGTCGGGACCGGAAAAGACGTCTCTTATATCCGGGTTTCTCTTATATCCGGGTTTGGTCTATTTCATATACATTAACACAGGCTCTAATTTGGGACCAGAGAAAATCTCTCTTATATCCGGGTTTCTCATATCCGGGTCTCTTATATCCGGGTTACACTGTATAAACATAAAAATGTTTCAAAAAAGTCTCACATGCGAGGAATCAAGCAGGGATCGGATTTATACTAATAATACCATCTACAATGTGTTCACACCAGCCACAAGAGCCAACATTGGTGAGTCTTCCTCGTTTCTCTGTTTATTTCTCGCACCGCTGATGAAGGATACAGGCGTGCCCGAAAATTCCAGACTAAGAACATTAATCTCCGTCTTTCATTTCTGTCCTGTGGTTAACAATTAATATATAATAAATTCTTTTCGCACTGATCACAAATTGTAACTTTTCGTTTTCCCTTGTTTTATCAACCAATCTATCTATTATATATATATATATATATATATATATATATATATATATATAAAAAGTAGAACTTTGTGATTCCTTCTTTCTATGTATTCTAAGCCCGCAACACATAGATAGATAGATAGATAGATAGATAGATAGATAGATAGATAGATAGATAGATAGATAGATAGGAACGCTCGAAAATTAATCTTCTATTTGCTTCCATGGTAACGACAGCAGATACAAGTAACAAAACCAGCGATAGGTTTTCAGCTGCAGAAACACTTACCCTCCCTCTCTAGTGATTACCATTCGCTATGCATATTTCGAAATGTGGCTCATTTCGTCTGTTGACAGCTGTGCTGGCAGGTTGGGAACAGGACTTATCACGCACATCACTGGAACCAGCACGGAAAGCACTTTATTCACTACCTGACTCTACTTACATCCACTCTTTGTTCTCCATAAACATTCAACAGGCATCGATTAATCTCGATTTTTCTGCACGGAAGTTTTCCATGATTCATCTCTGCTTTTTATACTCTTTCAAATCAGTTGCCACGCTGGCAAAATGGACGACACTTTATAGCTCTTCATAAAGTACTTGACTTCACCTGCCATGATCTATCAAGAAAAAAACTGCCATGATCTAGACAAGAAAAAAAAATGGCTGCCATATCTGAATCGGAGCTGGCCAACCGCTCCAGCTTTGACAGACTTCAAAATTATCTACGTGGCCTTATGGCTGATGAATTATTTTAAACCGCACAAACCCTTTCTCAAGGACACAAGCGTCTCGCAACTCAGTCGCTATTTACTTCGCTAGTTCTGACGAGATACATTCCTTAGTTCCATCCGTTCGAATTTTTTTCAGCTAAGGCTTACCCTTCCATGTACTCAGGGTTCAATCATCCGCATTTAATTCGTAATCCTTTGAAAATAAGTACAAATTCTAGCAAATCCTTACCAAGAACCGCTAAGTTATGGTACACACTACCGAAAGGCCGCCTCTCCAATCACTGCATTCTTAACCTCTTCCAGTCTATGATCGACATATCCTCATAACCTTCTCTTATGACCATAAAACAGACATTATTCAGTAACCCGCTATCTTGGGTGGCTCTTAGGTCTTGTAACCAAAACTGTAAAATAAAAAGAAGCCAGTCTGTTATCTGTATCAAAGAGAAACATAATTGATTACGAGCGTGAAAGTTTAACCTCAACTGTTTTAGCACCAGCACCTGTCTCTGACATCGTTGGCTAATATAATGAAATATGATTCATTACTTTCTGTTCCTGTGGAGAGATAGATATTTTCCAATCAATGAGCCAAGCCTCATCTGAAAATAGCTTGTTAAAAAACATTGATACAATTAAAGTGTTAGGAACGGTTGAAGTTGGAACGGAAAAGGAGATGAACTGTTTAAAGGAGAAGGCAATGAATTGAAAAGATACTAACAGCCTGAGACTTACCCAATGACCCTCTACGAAGGGTGGTGAATATTAGCAAGTGTTCAAGTTAAATAGTGATAAACTCGGAGACATATAGCAGACGTATACGAAGGAAACAATACCAGACACAACCAACACTTGTTCAGTCTGGAAAAGAAAACAGAAGAAAAAAAAAGAACTCTGACTAGCCATTTTATAGCTAAGAGATGGCGGATAGCTTTTCTTTTCCAGCTTTTCGTTTATCGTTCAATTCACATTCCTCGCCCGGCTCTTGAACAGGAGTAGTGGCTTATCCCCTGTTTCCTGTTTAGGATTGAGTTTCCGGTTCCTTCTAAATTCTGATTCAGCTCTGTACTCCTAACGTCTGCGCTTGAATTCTGAAAATTTATTCACTAATCATTATATTATTTTTCTTCTCCCCCAACAGGAGTAGAGAGCTTCGGCTATCTTCTGGTTGACACTCCTCCCCGCTCTTTTGAACAGGAGCAGAGATTTATCCATGGTTTCCTGTACTCTCTAACGTTTACTTCAATTCTATACTTCTAACACTTGCCCTTTCTTAAGCTAATATTTCTCCATACAATAACCCTCAAATTGAGTGACTTTTAGACCTTGAATTCGATGGACATTAGTAACAAAAATTTCTTAAAAGAAATGCACATACGCTATATATATATATATATATATATATATATATATATAGTCATCCACATACGGACTGTTTAGCAGGTCATCAATATGATTAGACATCCGATTAATTGAAGCCGGAATCGAAACCCGAGCGATTTGGTATCAGTCAGAGATTCTACTCCAAGCTATCGTCACACGGCTGAGTGGAAGGGAAATTTTAACGTTTTTACTCTGCGGAAGACTTCAATGGCTAGGAGAGCTCGATTCCTGAAAAAGAGCCTTGCATTAGCAACAGCACTCACTGTTTATAAAACCACTCCTTTCACCCTGAGAGCTCAAATGAATTATTTCAGGGGCATAAATAGCATATATATATATATATATATATATATATATATATATATATATATATATATATATATATGAAAGGATTTTATACACGACAACGTTTCTTATTACTATAAACGTTATTTTTTTAGTAGGTAGACATGTTTTACTTGTTTTTTTATTTGTTTTTTGTTTTCTTAAAAATGGGGAATTAATAACAATCTACTAATGAAAGATTTTACTTTTTTTCTGCTTTTTTGAGTTAAAACGTGTCGCTCCCAATTTGGTTATGAAGCCAGCCTGTCAGAATAATATATGAATTACCTATTTAAGAAAAAGCAGGTCACTCGTTGGTATTTTTACAAATTAGGATTTGTAAAAACTTGCAAGCTTCAGTTTCTCACTTGAAAAGTCACTCTGGGTTTTATAGTAATAAGAAATACAATATATATATATATATATATATGTGTGTGTGTGCACAGAATACGACCAAAATGTATACACACTTCAGGAAAAGAGAAAAACTTGTAGTATAGATATTTTAAAGTTAAATTTATTCAGACATTACGGGATTAATATGACTACATTCAAAAGAGATACTCAAAATGGTGGCCTTTAGTTTACAGACATTTATTACGACGGCGAACTACTGCTGGGCTAACGTTGACCAAAGTGTCAAGTAGAATTGCTGCACATGTATAAAGTCGGATTAAGGAAACCCGTCGGCAATGATCGAGAAATATATTTTCCAAACGTCTTCTTTTTATCCAGATTGTCTTATCTTCAGAATTATTCTGAGAAATTTAATTCACAAACTCCAGAAAATATCGACTGAGTTGAGGTCTTCAAATCAACAACCCTACCGAACTTCAACACGTCACGTTAAGAAACTTTAACTCTTACCATTTTGAAGAAATAAGATTGATTTCTTCAATTCACAAAATTTTGGAGATATTTTCAACTGAATTTAAAACATTTTTTTTTAAATTCACAAAGTTTTTGTGTTAGTTTAAAATCAACAGAAATTAAAAAATTAAAATCACTATTTTTTCCTGATACCAAAAAGTTATGTTTATCGACTGCAAGTGTGACTGAGTTTAGTGAGATTTCGACACACGGGCGGACATACAGAATTTCACGTTTATTTATTTAGATTATTAGATATAATATTTATTTGATAATTAAATCTTACTGGGCTCATTCGTACCGTTTGTTTTTTTTTATTATTTTATTTTGTTTACTTGCAGTTTATTTGTTATGTTATAAGTATAACGTGTATATTATCTTAATTTTAGAAATTACTTGATATGCTTATATTTAGTTCATTTACATTGACGGACAGACTAGGCTCTCTTGACTTGGATAGTATCTAGTCTCTAAGAAGGAAAAATCTGAAATCAGACCATGTCTTCCCTCTCGGGGAATATATAATTTTAGCACCCCCCTCCGCTGACCATAATAAGCTTCTTAATGGGATTACACGAACACATACCCTTCTCCGATTGTCCGAATATGAATAACAAATATATAAACGTCTTTGTATTTCACTGTGAAAAATATTACGTAAAACACTAGCCTGAAACAGATGCAGTTTTATATGCAGTATAACTGATCTCTTTACAAGTTAGTGACGTTAATATTAAAATTAGATATTTGTGTATGCCGTAAAAAGCTATTCGCGAAATTGTTCAAGAGTTTTAATCCTTTTACTAGTCGTTTATATAATAACTTTTCGAATTTAAACATAGACTATAAAAGGTTAACATTGATTTGTTCCATTTATAATATTGCCAAGCAGTGAACGAAATGCTAAACAGGTTACCATTTCCTGAGCATGAAAAATTATTTGACTAAGCAATATATATATATATATATATATATATATATATATATATATATATATATATATATATATATATCATCAATAAAACCAGTGCGTATTCTTGCCAAAACAAAAGACAGTTATTTATTAATTTGGGTTTTAATCTTGAAAATGCAAATTACTTTCGCCACTAAGCAAGACTCACTATGTTGGGTCTGATATAAGACACATGCTGAATGAATATGACTGATGAAATCGAATAGCTTTTGTCTTATTATTATTTATCTATGACTCCTCAAGCTCTCCATCTACTAAATTGAAGGGCTAGAGCGAATAATCTTCCCCGGGTGAAAATTCTGCAGGAACTGATCATTTATTGTCCTTATTGAAAAGGGAACTAATATTCATATTCAGTTTTAAAAAATATATTTGACTGTTTTGTTTCTTGCTTCTAATCTGATCTTTTGTGATCTTAATTAATGAGCAAGTTTTTGTGGTTGGCTCTTGTAAAGAAAATTACTTAATAATAGAATCCTTGACAATCATCTCAGAAATGAAGAAGAGACTAGAAGAAACAGAAACTTGATTCTTCCGAATATACAAGTAATAGTATAGTTCTTCAGAATTTGCTTGAAATAGCATGCTCCTTCAGTAGATGCTAGAAATAGAATGAATCTTCAGAAAATGATTGGAATAACATCGTTCTTTAGAAGATCTTTGGAATAGCATGGTTCTTCAAAAGACCCTTGGAATCGCATGCTCATTCAGAAGATGATTGGAATAGTATAGTTCTTCAGAATATGCTTGAAATAGCACGCTCCATCAGCGGAATCTTGGAATAGCATGGTTCTTCGGATAATGGTTGGAATAGAATGGTTAAGAAACACGGAAAGTTATTGTAAAGCAAAGAAAATTTGTTAAATGTCCATGTAATAACGATCTTTCTATAAGACATTGAACCTTGGGCAATTTTCTCCCAAATGACATGGTGACTTAAACAGAGAAATGATTCTTTGTAAGATACATGGAATATATACTTCTTCAGATGATACGAAGAATAGCGTGGTTCTTCAATTGATACTAAGAATAGCATGGTTCTTCTGAAGGTACTTGGAATAGCATGGTCCTTCAGAGGATGCTTGGAATATCATCGTTATTTAAAAGATCCTTGGAATATTGTGATTCTTCAGGAGATGCTTGGAATAGCATGGATCTTGTGAATATGCTTGGAATATTATAGTTCTTCAGAATATCCTTGAAATAGCATGGTCCTTTGCAAGATACTTGGAATAACATTGTTCTTCATTAAAGGCTTGAAACAGCGTCGTTCTTCAGAAAATTATTCGAATAACATGGACAGAAACTGTGAGCAATAATAAAATCTTACGAAAATTCGAAACAAAAAGGTAACTTGTCGTTAAGATCGGAAAGAAACGATTGAAATTTCAGGAACACAATGAGAAAAGTGGGTGTGGAGAATTAAAGCCTCACGGGAGCAAGAGAAAATAGCGAGTAACACCCCGCACGAGCTTATGTAAATAAAATACAGGCTTAGGAGAGATAGTAAAGGGGAAATATTTCGTTTAGGTTTATAATTTGTGAAGAGACATGATCACACACGTGCTGAAAGTACTAAGCAAATCGTAAAAGCTTAATAAAACTGCTTGCTGCCCTGAACTTGTTAACCATCTTAGCATTTAAATCACAGCTTGGTATACACAATTGTGTATTTGAAAATCTAACAAATGTAAATCATTATTTCTTAAATATGTTCTTTAATGTTTTGTTTTTTTTTGTTGTTCTTTCATCTGAAAATAGTAAGATTAGTTACTGGACTTTCTCATGGTCTTTGAGTGCATTTCAGGAAAAGAGCAAATAGAAGAAAACACACACACATACACACACATATATATATATATATAATAGTAGTAGTAGTAGTTGTAGTAGCAGTAGTAGTAATCATTATTAGTTGTAGTAATAATCTTATAAGTATAAGAAACTATACTCGTTCGGAAAACTTTTGGTGTCTTGATTTGCAAATAATCAAACCAATACCAAAGGGAAAAAAGTATAAAAAAGAACCAAGAACATGTACGTTAGCCGAAAATAATCATCTAGCATACAAGTTCAAAGCCCAAAGACAAAGAAAAACGATATGAGTAAGCAAAATAACTAAATAAAGTGCTCAATACAATAAGTAGAGCAAATCTAGTTAAACCTAGAGAGCCAGACAAACCTACCACGGCTTCACCTTAGCGGATCGTCAGGAAGGCTGGCTCTTCCCCGACGATCCGCTTAGTTGAAACCTTGGTAGATTTGCCTGGCTCTCTAGGTTTAACTATATATATATATATATATATATATATATATATATATATATATATATATATATATATATATATATATATATTTT